CCCCAAAACCCCAAAACCCCAAAACCCCAAAACCCCTGGAGAAATTTATAAATTGGAAGTTTATTGGTGCTGAAAGTGGGGCTAGACCCTGCTTGAGAGCTTTTGGAGTTTTTGACGTAGACGAAGGTTTTCATCAGCCAGATCTTGATTTTTAGTTGAAAGCCTAAAGGTTAGAAGAGGATTTTACCTTTCTTTGTCATAGATTAAGTCTATTTTGAGATTGTCTAATCTTTTTACTTCATTTAGCAACATGTAAGAGATCTGAATGTTCTCCTGCAGCGCCTTGGAAGACTGGAATAATTCATTCTTAAGGAAAGATATCCTTGACTGCTGGTCAGCCAAGATATCATACTTCTTATTCTTAGGAGTCATTGGCTCTTCTTGGAACTTAATGCCTAGATTAATCAGGTTTAAATAACTTACTTCTTCGAGTAGATTTCTTAAGGGATTTGCGGTTTGAAGGTTTTTCTTGGTATTCAGCATTCCCATCACTCTCGTCTGTGAAAATGTCTTTTTGGAAACGATCACCGTTTATTTGTTCTATTTTTGAAGAAGTTTGGAAGCATTTCTCGTCCATTGAACCAAAATCATAATCTTCATCCTTAAAGCTGGTTCTCAGGAGGTGGTTCAATCTTTCAGTAGATTCTTGAGCTGTATAAGCAAGCTCTTCAATCCTTTTCCCTACAATTTCACGGCTAAAGCTGGGAGCAAATGTTGGATCATTAGTCTTAATGCTTTTTCTGGTTGGAAACTCTCTGCTTGGACTCAATGAGCTTGACTGTGACCTGCTCCTGTAATTGTACTTAGAGCCGCTGGTATATCTCACTTTTCGTTTACCAACCTTCCCTGACCTTTGAGGGGTAAATTTAAATAGGTTTATTCTCTCGTTGCTAACGCCTATTAATCCTCGATTGGTGTCAACCTCTGTGCCCGCAAATCTTGGGCTCCCGAGCGCAAAATCTTTGTTATTCTCTTTCGAGAGTAACAAAGGAGTAACAGGAGATCTTTGAGGCTCTGTTTTCCTTTTAGAAACATACACTGATCCTTCTGTACGGTTTTTCTCTGAAGTATCATCTGGAGACTTCCAGCGAGGTCTGTTCTTTTTCTGAGTTAGTGATTTCTTGCCATTGTGGAGGGTGTCAAAATCAGTCGTTATAGTTCTCTCATCTCGAAATTCTTTAAGATTATCCTCTCTTCTATCAATGCTGTCTCAAAGACTAGCAAGGTTATTCTTTGATTCAGCTTCAGGCTTCAGTGCTTTTGTCATTGTACTAAAGAAGGGTACTGGATCATCATCTACTTCATACTCCTCATTATCAGAGTAGTAGTTATTTATAAGAGTATGGGGACTTTTCTCTCTTGATACTTCTCTTTACTTGTCGATTTTTCAAATTCCCTTGCCTATAAATGGCATCACCCCCAAAGGAAACCCTCCTTTTCTGTTTTTCATGATTATGAGAGGACCTATCCTGGACTCTGTGAGTGCGAGGGCCCATTTCTGTATATTTAGTATCATTTTCATCCTCGCTGTTTAGAAATCCATCAACACCTTTATTTTTGATTTTGATATATTTGGGATTAATTTGAGGACACTTTACTGTGTTTACCACATACTCGTCCTGGTCTGTGTAGAAAGCTTGATATCGACTATCGTAAATATTCGCCATGTTAGAATACTGTTCAATAAAATTTATTTTCAACAAAGTTGGCGGTTTTTGGGGTTTTGGGGTTTTGGGGTTTTGGGGTTTTGGGG